GAACAGTAAATGACAATAAATGTATTAGGAATGACAAGTTATTTATTAATAAGTTGTAAATTGATAATAATGAGTATTGAACAGCTAATGACAAAAAATATACTGCCAATGACAAGTTTGATAGCTTTTTAAAAAAAATCTAATACAAGGACATTTTAGTCATTTAACTATATTTATAAAATATCAAATCTAGCACCACTTCTTTCTTTGTAATTTTTAACTCCTAGATGTTGAATTGGGAAATGATAATTTTAGGATTCTTTTTCTAAAATTTTCATAAGAACTTTTTTAATAAGAGAATACATGTACTTAACAATTTCAATTTTTTAAGGGAAAAATTAATTTGATAGATTGATGTTTTAAATAAAAACTGAAATGCATTCTGTCAAAACGAAAAAAACAAGACAAGAATTTTTATTAAAAGGCTAAGGTATAAATTTGTTCAAAAAATTTTCACTCAAACTGAAAGTTTTTTGGTACAAGTTTGTTCTTAAAGTTTACAATTGTCGTAATATTGTCCCTTAACATTAGAAATATTAACAATCGATATTGCTATTTTAACAGTCAACGTTAGTTTTTAATGGTATAAGGTAATATTACTATAATTTTAAAATTTTGGAGGCAAATTTTCATCCAAAAAAACTTTTGAGTGGCCAACACTTGTGAATCAATACTTTTAGAACAAATTTACACTTTAACCCTTGTTAAAAATTAATATAAAAATTAGCTTCAATTCAAAAGCACATTAAAATAAAAAGTATATTTTATTTAGCTACTTATTTGTTTTGGTTGAAGAAAAGCATAGAAACTAATTAAGTACTGAAGTCTTCTCGGATTAAAAAAAATAAAAATATTATATTTAACTGTGATATTTTAAGAATTTTTAAACAAAATATAGTATTCATATGAGTAAGACTTTTTTAAAAATTTTATTCTTTGTTGGGCCCGAGGTATCTAGTATCTACTGCTGGCAGCGGCTAATCCCTTCTTATTATAAACTTTCCAAGAGGACTTTAGTGCAACATATTAACAAACTATATGAAATTTAATTTAAATAGATTGGCATGAATAATTAGTATTTTTTTTTTGCCAACAATAAAATAAATCACAGAATATTATTATCCCCTTGCTTGAAAAAAATATTATTTTTTTTCAAATATGTTTGTGTGGGTTAAATCCTGAAAAACTCAATTTTTGAACAATATTTCCTGATAAAAAGGGCTCAACTAGTTTTTAAATTTTATATTATATTTATCCAATATAAATGAACTGAATTTTAATAATTTATAGAAATATGTCGATAAATTTCCAGCTCAAAAAAAATCATGAAACTGTTAATGACAAGTTGTCCCAATAACAATACCATCGCTATTTTAATTTGTGTAATTGTATAAAATCAATAAAAAAAATAGATGAATTCTAACTTATTTTCATTACTTGATATTATTTTGAAAGCAAATAAATGAATACATAATCTTTATTTTCAATTATTATATTTTAAAATTTTAAAATATTTTGAATGATAATTGACAAAAGAATGGCCTAATTAATTTATTTTTTAATCTTCTAATAAGATTCTTTTTATTTTTTATTTTAACGAAAATACATCAGATTAATTAGAGGTATAGGTTATTGAAATTTGTCACATGTTTGAATGTTTATGTTAACTTCGACGAAAATTAACAATATATTTCTCAAGAAATTTCAGATAAAGTAGACACCAAACTCCAAGTTTGGAAAGCCTTCCCTCCCTCACAAGCAAGTAGATTTACCTTGGTCAAATTAGTTAGAGCTGTATTATTATCATCATCAATTAGCTAGAAGGGCATTAATAATATTCTTTAACGCTGATCAAACTGTAACTAATTAAACAAACTTTTTGTCTGGGACTACTTTCTTGACTTTATTTATTTTTTTCATCGCGAACTATTGACTATCACTAATCACCTCTATCCATCGTTGGGCATTGCCAACCGCTGCCCGCCTCACTCTACCCTCATTATTGAATGATATTACCTCCGTTATTTAAAAGTAAGAGTTATTTTACAGTACAAATTGCACTACAAAATTAGCTTTCATATTTATGATCAAAGATAGTATTAGTATTTATTTGTTTTTTTATTATCGCTAACCATATTATTAATCACTGTCATCAGTTATCACTATCATAATATGTCGTTGAGGGTGGGTGGTTAAATTGGTAAAATAATTCTCCAAAATAGTAGAAAACACATACCATGAAGAAAACAAAAGGTTATCAAGGAGTACATGGGGAAAAAGAAAACCACATCAATTGTATTGCCAACCTAACACAAACACGCATCATTCGATCACTCATCACATGTCACTAACATCCAACAACGTTCAGCTGGTCAAAAAAAAAAAAAAAAAACATCCAACGTTCAGGCTTCAAGTACATTTACCAGCTTTCTAGCATGCTCTTCTTAGCTCCCTAGCATCTTATTATCTATCATTTTGTTGCCTTTTCTCTATTTGTAAAAGCTACTTAGCATGATTTTCTATTCCAATCTTTCCCGTCATGTCCAATCCTTGAGTACTTTAAATCCCATTTGGTATGAAATATTGAGAATTAGAGATAAGGATTATAATTAAGATTGAGAAAACCTATTAAAAAAATATTAATATGAGTGATTTCTTATTATTTGGGATTGATACCTCCTACCACCGAATCTCACCTATCATATGGGTTTACTTAATCCCAAATAACAATTAATTGTTTGTACAGTCATACTAAATACATTTTAATGGGCTTTTTAAATTTGAATCTCAATCTTTTATGCCAAAACGGACCTTAGTTTTCCAATCACATAACTTCTCAAATTTATATCAAGTTTCGTTTCTTCAAGGTTTTGAATTCCCACATTCATTTAAGATTGCATTTTAATACTTGCATTTAGAGAAATTATGGTAAAAATGAACCAAGAACTCATGTTTGTTTAATTAGAAGTTAGGTTCTTCGTGATTGCTGTTCAAATCTGACATAAGCGCAGACTATTTTAAAGGGAAAAAATAGTCAATAGGTATGTGTCTATATTATAAGAAAAATTAATTTGTAGATACTTATAGTTTATTTTATGTTTGAATTAGATCCTATAATTTATTTTATTTAAATTGAATCCCTGTAATTTGATCCATTGTAGGCATCCATTCTTAATTATAAAAGCCATGACTTTTAATCTATAAAATTTAATTGAGTTTATAGAATATTTTTCGTTTCATTTCATACCATTTTAACACTGTATCTATAAATCAAATTTTGTAGAATTTGTACGTTAAAATCAATAGACCAAAAAATAAGCTGCCAGTTCAAATAAAATAAACTAACAGAATTGTCAGGGGTGGCATCTAAATTTTCCAAAAACTTCAGTGGATCTTCCACTTCCTCACTATTGCTATGTAGAACTTGTTGGTAGCAATACCTGCAAATAATTAGTTAATTTAAGTCGTGTCTTATGGATACTGTCTTTAAAAACTATTTCGCAACTACTAGCAAGACAAGAAGCGGCATTCCTCAGGATTAAACGGATTCTTCTATAAGAGCAGGATAGGCAGAACAATGAAAGATAAAAAAAAAACTCAGCAGAGTAGAATGCTAAAAGAGGAGAGAAAGGTGCCCGAAAGCTCAGAGCTCAAGATTCCATGAAATTTGGTCTCATGCCCCTTTTATAGGTTGTGGAGAGCAATACCATTAGGCATGTTTAATAGTAATTAACTCATCGATTAATAATCTTGAACACAATTAAATGTGTGGTTTACATGTTAATAACTTGCTTAATAATGACTAAAGTCGTGGGTTACAAACATTGATGATGCGTGATCACGGATTAATTAGATAGATATTTTCTATAAAAATGCCTAATAGTTTATTTGGTTCATGCACATGAGATGAGGAGAAATTGCCGGATTTACCTGAGGTAGCCCCTTGTACTATATATGAGCTCACTTATCTTCTTGTCCCATTTGGTAGCCCAAACCACTTATTATTTGGACTCTCACAATTCCAAACAGTGTAGGACTCTTCATTTGACACACACAAAATTTACAACAAAAACCTCATTTAAAATTGCGGTAAAGAGTATATTACAAAATTTTTGAATTAATTTTCCTATATTATACTTCTCTAGTTCTTAATATAGGAACAAATTAGTAAATTAATATTTGTCTTGTATATAAAACCTACTTCATATATTTATCAGTTTTTCCCAAACTAACCTTATGGATATTCTTTTAATAATAATCAAGTAAGAGATGGAGGGAATGAATTAAGAAATATGCTTAGAATATTTTAACAATAATCATATTAATTAATTTAAGTATAACCAATATTTTTAATTTACTTGAATTAATTAATTTAATATTATACCCATCCTATCCTTGATATATGACCTAATTATTGAGTTGATTTTGATTATAAATATAAGACATATTTTTCATATTTATCAATTTTTTCTAAATTATCCCTACTGATACTCTTTCAACCATTATCAAGTAGAAGAGGGAGGTAGGATATTAAAAAAGATAATTATAATATTTTAAAAAAATATATCATATTTTTTATAATTAACTAACTTATCTAATTTTTTTAATCTACTAAATTAGTTAAATAGATTTTATATTAGAGACAGAGTTATTGGGTACCGGACCAGTAGGAACTCTTCCCCCGGTTTTGGGTATGTAGGCAGAGGATGTCTGTCTCAACGTTCACGTTAGCCCGAAGAAATTAGAAACGTTCCATGTAAACCTTTGACCCAATCGCGTGGATCGCACTCGAGACCTCCCGACCCGAGATGACGAGAGCATTAAAAAGGAGAGCGCGTGCCGAACACGCTCTAAGCTCTAACGCGAACAGTTACATAGAGCGTCAGTCTCGTTACTTCCCGCGAAAGACCAGCTCCGATGCTCATACAAACAAAATCGTAAAATCGAAATCGACCACGTCTAATCTCGCTCATTTTCAGACCTCTCTGTCTAAACAACTCTATTTCCTTCTCTCTTTTTCCTCTCTCCACATTTCGGTTTCCTTGATTCATCTGCAGCTGTTTCGCCATGGATGAAGAATATGATGTGATCGTCCTTGGTACTGGGCTCAAGGAATGCATCCTCAGTGGCCTCCTCTCAGTTGATGGCCTCAAAGTCAGTGATTCTTTTATTCTTTCTTTCACTTCAGTTCCTCATTTGAAGATTTTAAATTTGTGTTTTTGCTGAATTAAGCATTTAATTGGTAGGAGATGGATAACAGAATAGGAAAGGAAATGAAAATGGAGATGATTGGGAAGTTTTAATGTTCCTCTGACGATTTTCGCAGAGATATAAATATAATGCATGTGGGTGGTTCGTTGTTCAAGTAGGTTTACACCCTTTGTGATCAAATTGAGAGGTTCCATTTGTTGGTATTTGGGCTTTTGGATTCTCACACATTCATACGGGGACTATATTGACTCATTGTGCGCAAGATTCACTCGGAGTGATGAGGGTTCCACAATGTAAATGATTTTCAAACATAATGTGTCTTTCCTCTACAAAAATTGATATTGTCAATTTTTTTAAGAAATTAATGGGATCCAAATGAAGTGTCGGGCATGTATAGTTTAAAAAAACAAAAAAAAGATCATCTGTTTAAGCTACTTGCATTGGACTTTCACTTGTCATTCACCTCAACATGGAAAGGTATTTCATTTAATTTTTCAATCATCATTTTATCGAGCTATATAATCGTTTTCAATCCTCATTTTCTACCTTTTCTATTTTCCCCTATCCACTTTCAAATTTCAACCATTACTCCTTTTTCATCATATTTCTAAAATTATCTTTGATTGGGATAACTAATGCTTTCCTAATGATATTATGTGACCTAGAAGATTACAAACAGATGTTGAATTGCTATTTGCAACATCATTCCCTAAAATACCCTTGCAATTATTCTTGGCGATTCGTATGATCACCTATATACGTATACTGTCTTATTCCTTTAACTCCATCCACTTGAAATAGGTATTGCATATGGACAGAAATGATTACTATGGAGGAGAGTCTTCATCTCTTAATCTTACACAGGTTCTCTGTCCATCGATGTTTATTTTTAGAAGGATTTATCTAGTTGTTCATCAATTTTTTCTTCTCTCTCATTTTCCATCTTTTCCTTTTTCTATTATGTAGTTATGGAAGCGGTTTAGAGGAGAAGACCAGCCACCAGAGCACCTGGGCTCAAGTAGAGAGTATAATGTTGATATGATACCTAAGGTATCACTTTCTATGCTTCTAGATGATTTTTTTCCTTAGATTCATTCCACTGTAATGTGAATCTTTTTTATCTGCTTTTTGTAGTTCACAATGGCCAATGGACTCTTGGTTCGTGTACTAATCCACACTGATGTTACAAAATATTTGAATTTTAAAGCTGTAGATGGCAGTTTTGTGTATAACAAGGGAAAGGTCTGTATAATATTCATTATATAACTCAATTTCTTGTCTAATATCAATATGCATGATTTGTACTTCTCATGTTCGAAATGTTATATTTCTTCCAACCTTATGAATTTCAGAATAAAATCTCATGACAGAATACTTTACCTTCTAGATCTACAAAGTTCCAGCCACAGATGTTGAAGCGCTGAAATCACCATTGATGGGATTGTTTGAGAAGCGTCGTGCTCGAAAGTTTTTCATTTATGTACAAGACTATGAAGAGAGTGACCCAAAATCTCATGAGGGACTAGATTTGAATCAAGTTACAGCAAGACAGCTCATTTCGTACGCTTCCACTTCCATTCTTTCCTTCAAGTTCTAAATACCCTAGTTAAAAATTGTTTTTCTTCACTTATTTTTACCTTTTTACTTAAGCGTAGGACTATGCACATCAAATCAAATTTAGAAATGTTCATTCCTTTAGTTCAGGGAGGGGGGGAGCATGCCATACTGTGTCTCGAACCCAAAACCTCTTATAACATTCATAAAGAACGTTCCAGGACCCAGGAGGGAGACTGGTGCAAATGTACATTTTCTTCATGAACTGAAAGTTCTCTTAATTCATCAGTCATTACAGAAGTATAGAATAACACAGGACCAACCCAACAAGGAAAATATTATACCAATATAAACATTTGATTTACAACTTTCACATTTTCATTTCAATGAATGTTTGACGAATTTAATATTAGCATAGTTAGCCTTTGTTTTGGCTCTCTTTGGAGTTGAAGGAAATAAGATCTTTTAGTTAGAAATTATTTGAGTAGTGTAACTCTTTGATTCAAGTCATGTTTAAACTTTTGACTGGTTCTTCAAAATGTAGGAAATATGGGTTGGAGGATGATACGATTGATTTTATTGGTCATGCACTGGCACTTCATAGAGATGATAGTTACTTGGATCAGCCAGCCAAGGACTTCGTAGAAAGAATAAAGGTATAAGCTATACAAGCTATCTTGCAATGCTTGTTTAATGATATGATACTGAAGTAATTGCTCAGTTAGATTCATTATTGTGTGCAACCTATAGATCAAGAAAATTCAAAGGCAATCACTCGATACTGTGCACTCTTACTTAGAGTAGGATCGAAACATAAAAAGGGAACATCATATAGGTCAAAACACATTTAGATGGTTAAAACACAGTATCAATCAATCTTTCTATGTTAGATATTTTCCAAGATTCCCACAGCCCTCATACGTGGACCTAATCTTGTTCATGTTTCATGACTACCCCTCTTTACAAGCATTTTTTTTGGTGATCTTGGACCTTGATATTGTGGAGGCTCTTAATGTTACAGTACAAAATATAATTTAAATCCCGGAACCACTAAAAATTCAAGGAATTTCTAGGCTTTTCCTCACTGTCTGTTAATGGATTACTATGAATCGAACTATTCTCTGTTAAACATATTATTTCTTTTGTTGTTAGACGCAGATGATGAAATTTTCTCAGCAACACTGAAGCAACCTGGAAATGAAAGTGAAAAACATCTTGTGCCAAATCCGAATCCCCAACATGTTACGCTTAGAACAACAACATTGATAAAGGAAGATTTTGGATAAAGGCTTTCTCTCATTTTCTACAATTCAATATAAAAGCGCTCATTAAGATATCATTCTTATTGTTCCATTACTTTGACTCTCAAGGGATAAAGCACAAGGTTATGGACCATATAGTCATTTGGCATATAATGTTTTCTTTTTTCTTTCTTGTGATACGAATTCTTGGGGACCATTTTATTCCATGACTCTTAGATATACCAAATGTTACTTAGGCTTCCTCTATCTTTCCCTCATGGGATCTGCTGGTTTATATCTTTCAGTTGATTCTACTGATGTTTATGTTGATAGAATCACCTGGCAACCTACATAAGCAAATAATATTGCTTTCATTTTTATCTAGCTTTATGCAGAGTCCCTGGCACTATATGTATTATGAGTCATCCTATTCCAGACACCAGTGATTCTCACTCAGCACAGGTCATTCTGCCGCAACAACAACTGGGTCGTAAATCGGATATGTAAGGACAAACCCTAGCATTAGTTAATTTCTTATTTTATAAATCGCAAATGACACAAGGACAGGCAATGACCTTCTTAGACATGAAATAATAAAGGATTTATGTTTAACTCCAAATAATGACAATGTTTGAAGTTGACGAGTAGTGGGACAGTGACACTATTAAAATTACAATGTGAATGGGGATACACTATGTTATAAATTTCTTATGAATGACCAATTAAAAGTTGATGTGAGTAAAATAGTGGACTCTTAGTTGTAATTTGTGATTCCAACTCTTAGGGAACTGATTCTTGGTATCCATGTTAACTGCAGGTATCTTTTTTGCTGTTCTTATGCTCATAACGTTGCAGCAAAAGGAAAATATATTGCTTTCGTCTCAACAGAAGCAGAAACCGACCAACCTGAGGTGGAATTGAAGCCCGGTATTGAACTACTTGGACCTGTAGATGAGATATTCTATGACACTTATGACATATATGAACCTGTGAATGATTGCCAAGCCGATGGTTGCTTCATCTCTACTGTAAGTATAATCTCTTTGAATTATTTTATTTTATTTTTTTTCACTTGCTTTCTTTTCCTTGTCCCTTGTGAAAGGGAAACAGAATTGGGGTATATATAGAAATGGCACACCATGCCATTACAAATGTGCCCGTTTGATTTGTGGGACTGGAATACCATGTTAAGGACCACTTTAATTGAAAATTTTAGCTTGGGAATTAAATGGTTCAAGTTTCCGCACAACCAAACATCCTTTTTGACTTTTAGCATAGACCTACAGTTACTTCATGTCTTCAAATAAGGAAGGTTATGTCTGTCTTTGGTTTATTTCTGCCATAAGGAATGCGAAATCTTATCACCTTCCTTATTCTACCTGAGGGGACTTTTTCATTTTATCTAAAAATTCAGTTTTACTGACTTGACATTACATTTTATGCAGAGCTATGACTCCACTACGCACTTTGAGTCGACAGTACAAGATGTGCTTGCACTGTACAGTAAGATCACTGGAAAGGTAATTATCAGTTGTATTCTATTCTATTGAAAATGAAATTGCATATTTCATCAAATCACAACCACATTTATGCAGCCTTTAGTCAGAACTGTGATATTAGTTGTATTTGTTAAGCAAGTTGTTGAGTACTAGTATATCCAAATACATGGCATTATAGTTTAATGTGATAATTTTTTCTAGTATTCAAAACACTTTTGGAACCACCTCTGTAATTTTTCTCTCTTCCCTCTCACATCACATCATTTCTCAATATGGTCTAGCACCATCTTTTGGTAAATCTTACCGTTTGATTAGAAAAAGAAAATTTGTGCAATGTCCAATTAGTTTTTTTTTTTCTGTTTATTTTACTGTTATCCAATTTTGTGGCAAATAAAGCATAATTTCTGTTTCAATGATGTACCTGCTGTTCACACACATTTAGGAAAAAACTCTTGTTTCTGTCTATTTACAAGGAAGTTGTAAATTTTGTCCATTTTTATAATAATTAATAACCCGTCAAATATTATGATATGCCATAGCATTTTGTCCTTCTCTGAAATAAAGTGATGCTAATCATTTATTAACAAACATTCCCTCATCTGCTCACATTAGTTTCTTTATCTTTTGTTTCAGGATGTTGATCTTTCTGTCGATTTGAGTGCTGCAAGTGCTGCCACTGAATAACGTGTTCAAATAGACTTGCCTAAGTTTAAAAAGGAAAACTTCATTTTTAATATTGTTTTCATGGTTCTTTCTTTAGATATTCTAATGGAAAGTGAATAACTCATATACTCATTCTTTCTATTCAATGGCCATTTTATGCCTCATTATTTGCTTTGATCCTGATCTAATTGTAAGCGCAAGTGAGCAAGAAACAAAACTTGTTCATGTTTATGCCTCTTTGGTTTCCTAATCTAAGTACAAAAATTGCCTGCACTACGTCTTGTGGAAGTTGCAACAATGGAAGAAATAAACTAAAACACAGTTTTGATTGAATTACTATAACGGCATTGTTTGGTGTTTCACATTGAAGAAAAATTATGGTCCATCTAGAGTTTGGCTGGAGTATGCAGCCAAAAACAGAGGCTTGAGTGTTGACATCCCTTATTTGGTCCACAGAACGGAGTGCAAGAGGCAATTAAATGAAAAGGAACTTTTTGAATGGGAAGTGTCATTTTTACCCTGGCTAAAAAATATATAGAAAAAAATAATATAGCTATTGTTAGGCAAATGATTACCAGGGAGATAACAGATGTTCCATACCTTCATCTTTATATAATGGAATCCGTTTCCATTTCCATTGAAGTAACCAGACAGAGCCTAAGATCTTTCAGCTTGAGATGATAGTCTTTTTGAATGGACCTGCATTTATCAATATGATTGAAGTAGATTTCTAAAAAGACAGTTGCCAAGCTTTTGGAGTTTCAAATCTAACCCGTTACTTTTAACCATAATCATGCATAGAAATCTCTTATCTGCAAACGAGAAATTATCTTATCAAAGATGTTTGTTCTTGTATACCTATCAATAACATGAAAATAAATATATAAATTGTTGATCAAATAATTTATATTCAGATTTAAAGGTAACAAAAGCAGGCATACATTCACCACATGTTGATAGTGATCAAATTTGCATAATCTTGTATTGGAAGTACGCACATTTGCCTCAAGCAAGGGAAATGAAATATGAAATCCTCTTCAAGAGTGGTGCGTAGCATGAATCCTAAAACTTGAACTTTAAGATAAAAGTAGACGAAATATCGATGAAAGGTTGTGTGACTTTGGATTCCTTCTCTATAGGCTGAAGCTTGCTTTTACAAAGTCTCACATATCCTTAATTCATCATTCGTCACAAATATGAGAAAACTTAACTCAGCTATGCTTTGCACGAGTGTATTTTAGACGGTTGGACTTATGTTTCACATGAGTAGCATTTCAATGGACATGTAAATGGACGATGAACACATCAGCTTTTCGGAGGAAACTGCTGCACAATCATCAAGGATTAAAAAAAAAAAAAAATTTGAACTACAAATTTGTTGGAACCTATAGATGAGGAGATCTCTCTCTTTTTTTTAATGTAATTAAACACATGCACGCAGATAAACATATCAATTTCATTTTTGAGTCTCAAATCTCATTCAAACATGACAGGTAGCGTTGCCACTAAAACAACTTGTTATTAATGGATCTCATGTTTTAGAGTATTTAGTATCTCCTAGAGTACTTTTTTTGTTTTCAATACAAAATCTCATAAATTTAACTTCATAAGAAGTTGGAGGATCTAGCCTGCTACACAAAGTATCTGAATTTTTTTTTAAAAAATCTGCTTCTGGTTCAGAACTCCAAAAGTGAAGATGAGTAGTGTGATTTATTGCGCAAATTACTCACAAAAAACATGTTTTCTTGTATTATATAGAGCTTAATGAAGTGGACAATGCATGTTACATATAACTAAAAAAATATTGCGCCTTGTCCCCCCCTCAACACCTTGTCATAAAATTATATATTTTGGACTTTTTGTTCTTACATTGAAATGTGAAATGAGTTGTGATTTTTATCATTTACGAATAATAATCTTGGTTTTATAAATAAAGTAAAAAATCATGCCTTATTTTTTTTTATTTAAGCATCCAGCTCAATTTGGAAAAATTGGGGAAAAAAACCTAAATTTGCTAGTGAGGAGGACCGAAATTACAAAACGGATATTAACTGATATTCTGTGCGTACAAAATTTGCAGCATACTGACTTACGTGCACAAAATTTTATTGGGTCCTTTTTACCAATAAAGTTTCATGTGGACTTTTCTTCCGATTTTTCATTTTTCTTTTCTTTTTTTTCCCCATGAAACCCGCGCGTCCCCGCGCGCGCGCGCTTGTATATATGTGTGTGTAATGTGTGTATAATATTGAATATTGCATCGAAGCTCTTGCGAGAACATTTGACGACCATCCATCGGAATTCGGATTATCGGAGTTGGAACTTGGCAGGGGCAGAGAGATGGGAGACGAGAAGGTGAAGGCGGAGGCACTTCAGATTATAGGAGTCTTTCAAGTTGTTCCACGACTTGTCGTTTTCGATCTCGATTACACTCTCTGGCCTTTCTACTGGTACTCCTACTCGCCACACGATTCAAGCCAGCTTCGTTTACCTTATCATCTATTTCTTCATTGCCATTCATTTTGGTTGTCCACACTGTGGAAATATATCTCCACACTCACCAAATTGCTCTGAGTTCTTACTCCACCGGAAACTTTTTTTTTCCTTTTCTCCCTTTTCCAATTTTTTTGGTGGTTGCTTTAATCTCATACCACTTTTCTTCTTATTTCTTTTTCCCTGGGATATAGATTTTCGTGGGTTACGTCCGGGAAAAATGCTTCTTGTTGGTGTAGATTGGGGAGTTTTAGTTTTTTAATCTTATGTGAACATAAACAACAGGTTTTTGTGGATTATTTACCATTACTTTGGATCCCTAATGGTTTGTCTGTCTTAATTTTGTGTCTGTGTTTGGCCACTGAACCATGCTCAAATATGCCTGGTGACAGATTCCATTATCCAATATAATTTTATTCTTGGATAAATTACAGTTGATCATTTTTTATGTGTCCTTGATTTCTGTTTATCCTCTGTGTTGCTTAAGGCTTGTTCTTATATAATTCAAGTAATTTAGGGTGCTTTCATCCAGTTTTAACATAAGTAATCACATTGTTAATTGATTAAGATTTCATTGTTGGAGGTCTGTTTCATTTATACCTCATACGGCTATAGAATGGCTAAAGTTGGGATTTTTTTGGCTGAAAAAAGTTGTTGAGGCTAAGTTCACATTTTGAAAATTAGAAATATTGCCTTCAAAACTATATTTTGGGCAATATGGTTTCTTTTTTGTTTTGCCCCAGAAATAACTTGGAACGTTATAAATTTCTCATCTTTTAACAGTCACATTTTTATTCTCATCAAAATTTGTGCTACATATATCATGTAGAGGTTAAGGGTTGAACCTAACAAACCACATAGGCTTGACAATTTAAAGCCAAGCCACACTGATTTACCCCGTCATATATTCATCAGGTAAGGAAATTATGTCATCTAGGATGTGAAAAAAATGAACTTCCAGATCAGTATCACTCAAAATGACTCTCCTGCAAAAGTTTTGGAATTTTAATATACAATTCAGTCACTTACGCCAAGCCAAATTTCAGTGAGTGTCGATCCAAGCGTGAAATGCCATCTTTGTATCCTCACGCCAAAGGAATCCTACATGCACTTAAAGACAAAGGGATTGATGTTGCCATTGCTTCTAGATCACCAACTGCTGATGATATAGCAAGAACATTTCTCGATAAATTGAGCATCAAGTCAATGTTTGTTGCTCAGGTTTGTTCATTGAATCATACTGCAATCTTTCTTTTCCTTGTTCTGTTCGTTGATATATGATCATCTTTGAGAAAAAAATAATAGAGTTGAGCACTGGCTTCTGCTGTAGGAGATGAGTGCTAAGCTGAAAAAAAGTTGCTTGTCTTTTTATCCCCCTTACCTTGTAGAGAATATGTCTTAACACCCAAAAAGGAGGGGATAGAATAAACATTGTTTCCTGAACAAAGTGGAATCTGTAAATAGTTGTTGTTGAAATGACATATTTGTATTTGCCAATTTTAATTCCTTTTTTCCTCCTATTATTCAGGAAATATTTTCCAGTTGGACGCACAAAACAGATCATTTTCAAAGAATTCATTCAAGGACTGGGGTTCCGTTAAGTTCTATGCTATTTTTTGATGATGAGAGCAGGAACATCCAAGCGGTAAAAAAACTCCTTTCATGTTTCTTTTTTGTGTAACTTGCTTCATTTTTCTTCTCAATATTGGATTTCAGCTGCCCAATGTGTCCAGTAATGGTTACATTGTAGAATTGCTATTTTTCTCATCTTCTTTCGGTGGAAAGAGCAGTGCGGGCGCGCGCGCGCAGATGTACGGTGCATGTTTAATAGTGGGAGATGGCAATTTCAGGTCTCAAAAATGGGTAACAAGTAACAAGCATTTTGGTTGGAAACGGGTAAATCTAGGAGCATTGAGAGAGGGGCTTACAAGATTTTCTCAAAACCGGAATGCATCAGAGAAGAACAAGCAGAGATGGATGACTAAGTACTCTAAGAAAGCAGATACATCCAACAATGATGGATGAAATTGGATATCCAATTGAAATTTACCTAGATTTTATTTAAAAACATTGTTAGTTTATCAAATATATTGTGTCAGTTACTCCCATAAAATAGGGAATACTTGGAATACTGATTACAAAGTAAAATGTAAATCTTGTTTGAATGAATTGTAGAATTCTGAATCATCAAGTATCAAAGCATGAGCTAGATATTTCCAACAATAATGCGTGTGATGTGAACATTTATCCAATTGAACTTCTGTGTAGAAAACATAGTAATTGAAGAATTCAAGTATTTCATTTGATCTACGAGGTGTGTCCACGTCGCTGGCATTCTCATACCCCTTCGCCTCTGTTATCAGTCGCAATCAGTTCTTATATTGGACGCTTCAAGCTGTTGGCTAATGGAGACGTAGCTTAACAGTTTTTCTCTGCAATGCTTATCCTTTTATCTGTTATACTCGAGTTGTAACTTGGAAAAAAAATTTTAAAAGTTGTCAATTTGCTATTGGCAAAGTTGTAATCTCCCTTCATCAATATTAAAACTTGTCATCAACGGCGATGGCTAAGGCGATCGGTCATGCCGGTGGCTCGGGTTGTATGATAAATTTCGGGAGGATTTTTTTTTTTTTTAAAGTTTGTTAAAGGTACTTTAGTAACTGTACACCAA